ATTTTTTTTCCTTTCAGATTTAACCCGTAGGGTTCATAATTATTCAAACTGTGTATACCTTTTGGGGAACACCCCATACATCCCATACATCTACTTGATTAGAAAATTATCTCCATGAGGACTGAGAATATGTTTGTCTTTTTCACCATTCTACTGCCAGTACTTAACAGTAAGTGACCCAAGGTCAGTATTCCAAAGGTGCTGGATACCTTCTGCTTCACATTATTCCCATTCTGACACATCTGCAGTTTGCTGCCTATGACTGGTCCTACGATATCAATAGACAGTGTATTTCAGCTCATTCAGCATGAGCTGCACACCTATCCAGTGCTTCTCTGAAGAGAATGCTGTGCTCATGGCATTCATGCTCCATTATCTCTTAAATTGCATCAACACAAACTATAAGAAATTGTGCACACATCCTTTGATATGAGCCCCTGGATTTTAGTAAGCAGTTTCATTGCCAGAATCTGCTGCCTCTCTCCATTACTGACCTGCTAAATGTGTCTCCTTCCTCTTGACCTACTCTATGTCATTTCTTAGAGGTATAGCAGAAAAGACATAGGATGGTGGTTAAGAATCCACATGTTAGAGTCACTTCAAAACCCAACTCTGCCACTGAGTAAATAGGTGACCCTGGGAAAGTTACTCAGTTTCTATTAAATTTCTGGCTGTGTAAACTAGGCATGATAGTGTCTATGGTACAGGATTACTTTGAAGATTAAGTAACATATATATATGTATAATAAACAATTCTCATTGTGTTCATTAAACTACAATAGGTTTATAAGTAAGGGATATAGAAGACACTGAGTGTCTGCCCCAGGTAATATATTTCTCTGGAAATTATTCAACCATCCTAAGTTATTTAAAATAGCATACAAAAACTGTTTCCTATATATTCATATTTAAATACCTAACCTTTTTTGGGTGACACTCTCTCCTAAGATGGCCAACACCTCGAGGGATTCCTGAATTTGACCCTCTACACTCCTCTCACAGGCACTTACACCTGTTCTCTGATGAGATACAAGTTCATCGAGCTGAGCTTTAATGCTGTTTCAGCAGGAGTGGCCACCATTTCACATCGTCCTACATGTAAGATATTTTGCAACTGAAGCTCCAAGTGAATGCCCAAGGAATCAATTTTATAAATGGAAAATAGATTTATTGTGTTTGTTTGAAGAGATGCCTTGCAGTGTGGCTCTTACCACATTCCTCTAGAGAGGAGCAGATTTGGGAATATTTAACCATCCAAATAGTGGTATATGGCGCTCAGAAGAAGTATTCCTTCCCAAGCAGCACAGACTGCAATGTGTTTCCTTTCGGTTGTCGTGACAATCAGCTGCATACCAATTATAATTGGGAGTTTGTAAACAGCCAGAAGATTCCCTTGGAGAGAGCAATTACTAGTATATTCCCTTTAACACACTACAGGGCAAACACTTTCTCTAAAACATGCTGTGTGCTGAGTGCAAAGTAGATTTACTTTACTAATGCTCAAGGAAAACCTTCAAAACCAAGGCAAGGGATCTTGGGGGGACAGAATCATGAGAAGGCCAACATAAGAGCAGAGAACATAAAATATACCATGGAATATTATCAATCAGGGGAAGAACTGATTTGGCCCATCCAAATAAACATGCATGGAAGTTGTTAAGAGCACCAATTTGGAGTTGGTTTTGTATCTGTCCTACCACAATCCCTGTGCTCCTTTGAGCATGAAAACTCACCATGCGAAGGCTCAATTTCTTCTTCTGAAAAGTGGGAATGATAATGCTTACCTAATAAGGTTATTCTAAAAATCAAATTACAAAACAGTAGACACCCCCAAAATAGTACAACTGGTGACCCCATATCCCCTTGGAATTCACCATTACCTATATAGATAGATAATGGCTTCCTACTGAGAGTACCTGTAGTTCTCTGCTTGGGGTTTTATTTAAAATATATATATATATATATATATATATATATATATATATATATATATATATATATAAATATATATATATATATATATATATATATATATATATATATATATATATATATTTCAGAGGGAAAGAGAGAGGGAAAGAGAGACAGAAACATCAACGATGAAAGAGAATAATTGATTTGGCTGCCTCCCCTCGCCCGCGCCCCCCCCCCCCTCCCCGGAGCTCAATCCTGCAACCCAGGCATGTGTGGAACCATGATCTCCTGGTTCATAGGTTATCTCTCTGGCTGGGCATGCCGGGGATTTTCTCATCCCAGGTACATGGGGTGGGAAGAAAGTGCCAGGGAGTTAACACTTCCACAACAGATCTTAGCCAATCATGCATAAAATATAGTGATGGATACCCATTTCCTCATTCCTCTCACAGGACAACTCTGAGGCTTGTTCCACTCTGCCTCTCATGGATCTCTTGTGGGTCTGAGTCCCGTTTGTCCCAGTGGGAACCTGCTCAGGAGCGCACCTGCATTGGCTTCTGTCACTTCCCTGTCTCACGGTCCTACTTCCTAGTGGGAGCTCCTTGGGATTACCTCCAAAATAAGCCTCTGGCACTCAAAATCTTGATCAGGATAAAGTCCAACCTAACACAATACTCAACAGGCTTAATAATTTGGACACTTGGGTTTACAGTAAAATGTTCAATTTGTTAACCAAGCCTTGTCTGTTCAGCTTCCTTTCAACCCCTTCTATCCCATCCCACAGCTACTGCCTCCACTGAGGCTCTTCTTGCTTATTTATTTTTTTCTGCACCACAGTCTCTGATCGACCTCCATGCTTCCAGTACCTCTACCATCTAATCCATCACCCACTTACTACCAAAGTTATTATCCTAAAATACAAAAGTTATTATCCTAAAATACCAAAAATATTATCCTAATGCCAGTCCCTTGCTGTTTTAAAGACTTCAGTGGTGCTCATTGCCTCCATGATTATGTGATATCCTATATAATAATAGAGTAATATGCAAATCTACCAAACAGTGGAACAACTGGTCACTATGATGCACATTGACCACCAGGGGGAAGACGCTCAACGCAGGAGCAGCCCTGTGGTCAGTGTGCTCAGCCACAAACCAGGCTGAAGGCTGGCCAACGCAGCAGCAGTGGCAGGAGCCTCTCCTGCTTCTGCTGCAGCGCTAAGTATATCTGGCTTTGGCTTAGGCCCTCTCCCCATGGGCATTAGTCACTATCCCGAGAGGGCTCTTGGACTGCTAAAGGCACAGGCCAGGCTGAGGGACCTCCCCCACTCCCTGCAGTGCATGAATGTAGTGCACCGGGCCTCTAGTATTTTATAACATGGTATGTAAAATCCTCAAAAAATGGTTTTAAACAACCTTCCCACTTCATCTCCATTGATTGCTACACACAGGCAATAACTCAGCTCACACAGAAAAAGCCAGTGTTGTGTCAAAGCCCTATTGCTGTCACCTTTTGTTTGTTTGAATGTACATGTGATCTTCCCTGTCTGAAGCATTGGGCTCAACCTTCGTGGTCAGCTCAAACGCCCCCTCCTCCATGAAGACTTCACTGCCTGGGCAAGTCGGTGGTTTTCCCCTCTGGGTTCCCACCATAGCATCTGTATTCACTGACTCATTTGTTCATATAACGGGCATTTTCTGAGCATATTCTACTATTAACCAATCATGCTCTAAGTTTCAGGGAAACCATGCTGGATAAAAGGCAGAAAAATGCACGAAGATCACAGATGGGAAAAGGAAATAGACCTTATCAGGAAATCATATTGTATAAAAGTTTGCTACTCACTGCCATGAGTTTACCATAAACGATGCTCACCCAACCTGGGGGTTGCAGAGCCTTCCACAAGGAATAGGCACTTGAAGTGAGAGTGGAGTAGGAGTTATCACCAGATGAAGGACATGGAACATGGGTCCCAGGCCTGGGGACAACTGGAGGTAGGAGGAAACACAATACATGTACTCTTTGAGGAATAGAAGGCCAGGGTGTTTAAAGCATAGAAGCATCAGGGAAATGGAGAGAAAAGAGACACTTACACCACTCATTAGGAGTGTCTGTTTGTGGGCTGTGTCATCCCTGCCTCACGCTCCCAGAATGAGCTCCTCCAAAGTAAGGACCATGTGACACTGAAAATCATACCCACCCAGCACTTAGCACAATGCAATGAACAAAATGAATGTATCCACTTGATGGATGAGAGTTGAGGTTCAGAAATGTTGAATGCCTCGCCTAAGATCCCAAGGCTGGCAGAGGCTACACAGTAACTAGAATATGCATCTACCATTCCTCAAGTATGTTTCTTATAAACTGGCACAACGCAACCCCCCAACTTTTTTTCCTTGAAAACCCAAGTTTTTCTGGGAGTTCTTTTTCGAAGGGCTCTGTAACAAAAATAAAGCATAAAGCCAGTTACTGGTGTGTGTGTGTGGGGGGGGGGGGGGAGGAGGAGTGAGAGAAAGACAGGGACGCTTTTTATAATGGCCCGAGATAATGCGGGGGGGGGGGGGGGAGGTAGGGGGGTGAGAATAAGACGCTTTTGGTGATGCTGAGTAAAGACCACCCTCACTGACCCTGGATGTCCTGAGCGAAATGACTGAGTTTGAACTCTTCACATGGGTGAATGGCAACTCTTGCCTCCCTCTTCCAGAACCTCTCTGCACTTCCAGCCTGGACCGGTGGTGTGGGAAAGAGCCCAATTTCCCGTCTCTCCCGCAGATCCCTGGGAGAGAAGGCAACCTCTTTGCGGGAGGCATCCTCCAGGCCCAGACATTCATCTCTGTCCATTTCAAGGCCCTGAGCCTGAGCCGTATATAACCAAGTACTGCGCCTAAGCGAAGGACACGGTGGCTTTTCTGCGTGTTTTATTCACGAATCTTGGGGGGGGGGGGGAATCTGGCTCTGGGGCTGCAATCAAGACCCTGATTTGAGACTGGTTCAGAAATTGGAGTTGAGACTTCGTTTGGCAGGAAAGTAAGGAGGTGAGCAGCCGCGGGCGCAGCTCTTGTGAGGATTACGGCGGAGGCTGTGGACCGCGGCGCCGCTCGCGGGGGCTGCAGCCATTGCACAACCGAGCACCCCACATTCAACAGGAGGGACCGCGGGAGCGGACCTCCGAGACCCCCGCAGCCGCCGAAGCCCGCGCCCTCGCGCCCCTGCGCCCCCCGCACCATGGCCAAGGAAGGCGCGGAAAAGGCGGAAGAGACGGAGCAAATGATCGAGAAGGAGACAGGCAAGGAGCCTGCGGAGGGCGGCGGCGGCTCGCACCGACTCGGGGACACCCAGGAGATGCGCGCCGTGGTGCTCGCAGGCTTCGGGGGGCTCAACAAGCTGCGGGTCTCCAGGAAGGCCATGCCCGAGCCGCAGGACGGCGAGCTCAAGATCCGCGTCAAAGCCTGGTCCAGTATCCGCGCCTTTCTCGCTTTCTCTCTGTGCGCGCTCGGCGCTCCCGGGAGGCGGTGGCGGAGCATAGTGGGGCCGGGGACCAGGGGCCCTGCCGCGGGTCCGCGCCCTGACCCTGGTCTCAAGAGTCTTTCCGCGGCCAGCCGCCGCTGATGCTGGGGAGGATGCTGAGAGGTGGCCCTTCTCCTCCCCAAGCCAGATCCAGGGGTGACCAGAGGAGACTGAGCTCCTGGGAGGGGACGCGAGGGTGGATGGTGGCATCCAGCACTCTGGGTCTTTCGCTGCGGGGGAAGCAGCCAGGATAGTGTGTTTGATGGTAACATGGTTAAAAAAAAATAACTGTAACCGTCGGCTTACTGTACACCAGCTATCGTTTTTAAGTTTTATATGAGCCATTGCATTTAATACTTCCTGGGACCCAGTGAGTTAGGTGCTTTCAGCATCTCCCGTTACAGGTGCGGAAACCAGGAGAGAGAGAGAAGGAGAGAGGGAGAGAGGGAGAGAGGGAGAGAAGGGGAGAGAGGGGGAGAGAGGGGGAGAGAGAGAGAGAGAGATTGATTGAGATTTGCTGGAGATCATCCTGCCTCCTCTAAGTGCCACGGCCAGGGTTTGGTCATTGGTCCTTGTCATCTCTATGTGACCAGCTGATGGGGCTGCTGACATGTGTCCTTTTTCCTGCTCCTGCACACTTCCCTCCTTGAGGCCTGGGATGGGAGAAGGAACTGGGAAGCTAGGGGAAAGGAACTGGGAACCCAGAGTTAGGTACCAGGCGTCTAAGCTTGGTGGTAGTGGTGCTGGTATGTGTGTGGGGAGGGGGCGGAGGGAAGAGGGCTTTCAAGCCTGAAGCATAAGCCTCCCTCTTCCCCCGCTAGCATCTTCTGCCGGTCTCTGAGAGGGGAAAATCCCAAACTTGATTAATCTTCCCAGAACGCCCGCTCCTGTCTTGGATGGACTCATCAATCTGAGTGACCTTCCCTTCCCCACTCCTCCTGGGGGAACTTCCTTGGAACCAAAGGGATGCCAAGTGGTGTGTTTAAGACTCTGGTTGCTGTCACTATAGGATCCTTCCGCTGCAGTTCTCGGGGGAGGGCTCACCTGGAATGTTTCCTGGCCCCAACCGAGTTCCGTATGCAGCAGCCTGGGAAGCTCTCAGGGGAACTTGCTGTTAGCACAGTCAGATGGCATATCCCTTCCCATCTACTAGTATGTGTTTTAAATCCCACAACAGGCACTGCTTCTTAACACAGCAGCCAGCTCAACGTTCCCAGAACCTGGGACCATGTCTACAAGCAAAATAAGTAAATAAATAAAAAGGGAAAGGAGATTCCCCTGCCTTGCTACTTGGAGAGCAGACGCAGGTTTCATTTGCCAAACTGGAAGGCAGCTGGTGAGAGAAGCAGGGACTGGTCTCTGACTGGCTCTGCATACATGTTGCTGGTCATGCCTGATTCTCATCAGGACTCTTGGGTTGGGCCTCTCCCTGGGGAATTCAGGGCAAGGAAAGCGGCTTCTGCAAACTGGGACTCCTATATAGTTCTGTTTTGTTAACTCTTGACTTGACCAAACTGATTGATCCCTGAAGACAAAGCTTATGTGTCTGACCTTTTCACAGAGAAATCTCCAGTGCATGGCACAGTACATCCTAAATAAGTTATCGCTGAATGAATGGATAGAGAAGAAAAAAAATGCTTGGGGGGGGGGGGGTTGTTGCATCATTACTTTTCTTCACTTGCTGATGGAAGAATGTCTGCCTAGTAAGATTAAAATCATGTATATTGATAATTCACCTCCCATAACCACCAATCAAAAATATGTTGTGTGTGTGTGTGTGTGTGTGTGTGTGTGTGTGTGCGCGTGCGCACACGCACATAGGTATAATTTATGACTCTCCATCCAAATCGAGATTGGTTCTAGGAATCCGTGTGTGTATCCAGGGAGTGAAAACGTTGAAGCTCCTTTTTGAAGAAAAGGCTGTCATCTGTAGTGTCAATAGGTCTGGGTTCTCCAGCCTTATGCTAAGTGCATAAACACTGACAGGCACTGAGGCATTTTGAGATAATAAATGTCAAGATGAAAGCTAGAAGATTGATTTTTCAAAGCCAGATACACAATCCCGTTCTTCATTAGAGCTGTATGCATGTGTGTACACACACACACACACACACACACACACACACACTGCAACCACTGCAGATCCTTCACCCCAGTTGCTCAGAAAGCCAGCCAGGGCTGGGGGCCTTTGGAATACAGGATTGCAAAGGCCCCAGATTGATTTCCATTTCACCAAGCTGGAAGCAGAGTTTTGCAAGGGGGGGGAGGGGGGGAAATAGGTTTTTGAAGATTGCCTGCTGGGCCCTTCCTTCTCCACTGGGCTGGGATTGGCTGGCCAAAGATGCTCATTGATTATAAGTTTAGCCTTGAGAGCCAAGATGACTCATTCTGTGTTTTTATGAATCAGTGGATGGCCTCCTGGTTGAAGGTCCCCCTTTTATCTGCTCTCTATTTTTAATGGATAAGCTTTATGCTTGGGAATAAAGCCTAGTTCATCTGAACTAGTATTCAGACCTGGTATTCAGAATGAAGATCCAAGTTGGTTTCTGTATAAATTTTTGGGAATGGAAGAGAAGGGGTGGGGGAAATACATATTATATCTCACTTACACCCTCTCACTTATGGCCCAATGAGATAGGTATTAATGGTAGAGCAAATTAGGGCTTGGAGATGTTGAGTAATTTGCCAAAAAAACATCACACAGATAGTAGAGTTAGGATTTGAATCCTGGTCTGTCTCTCCTGTTATTTTCCTTTTATTTTATCTCTCTCCACGGTAAAGCCATGAGAAATGTGATTTACTTCTCCAGACCTCTGTCATGTAAGCTTGCTTTCCTTTTTTCCGTGAATATAGCTCCTTTGATCTTTTTATGTCTGGCTTAAGGGAATGCTCTGTGGCTGTTTTCAGAGCAAAATGGCTTTCCTTTAAAGTAGAGACATGTGGTCAAATACAGCTCAAAAAGATCCAACTCAAGGAGCGTGGGGTAGGAGGTATAGGAGAGTTTTCTGTCTAAATTGTTACAAGAACATTAGCTCTCATGGGGAACTCATTTTATCAACCATTCATTGAACAAGCTACATAGCAAGTGATTTAAGCACCAAACTGAAGCAGCACATTGCCTTTGGAGGAAGATGGGCCTGAACGGAAGGCAAAGCCCCATCACCTTCTATCTGTGGACCAATCTCTTACCTCCTCTGAGCTTTCCATGCCTCGACTGCAAAATGGGGATAATAAGATGGATTTCATGGTACTGGCAGGATCAGATGCAGGAAAGAGACTGACCCACAGTTGGCACTAAAGAACCGTAGCTATTGTGACTATTGTCATTTCTTGGTGCCTTGATAACTTAGAGGCTATCATTTTAATCACGTATATAATTAGGCAACATCATGTCACATCTACTTAATGATTAAGAGCAAGATCTTTCTAGACACGAGTCCCAGCTCTGCCACTTGCTAACGGGGTGTCTTAGGACTGGTCCCTGGAAGCAGAGCCTATGACTAGGATTTTTTTAAGTGGCTGATTGAGAATGGGAACAAGAGGAGCAGGGCAGGGAAAGAAGCTAAGTAAAGATTTGGTTTCATCTGGATCCCATTAGGAGTTCTCCAGCATGAATTGTACCACAGAGCTAATCTGACCTAGAGAGCTAATCTGACCTAGAGAGCTAATCTGACCTAGAAGCAACAGGAGAAGCATTTTGTACCTTCCACTGCTCGTCCTTCCCACTTTCTTCACTTGGTTTTGGACTGCGGGCTACTTCCTGAGTCAGGGGTATCCTTTCAAGCAGAGGTGGCTTCTGTTTGACCAAGGGCAGTCCCCCTTGGAAGTGGGGAAGCGGGGAAGAGGACTGCTCTGAGGGAGCAACCAGCACTCCCAGCAGGTGGATAGGTGCACTGCCTAGTAAAGGGGATGAGGTGAAGCACAGACTGCGTGCCCTCTACACCAGTGTTTTTCAACCTTTTTTGGGCAAAGGCACACTTGTTTCATGAAAAAAATCACAAGGCACACCACCATTAGAAAATGTTAAAAAATTTAACTCTGTGCCTATATTGACTATATATAAAGTAATTCTCTTGAATAGGAATCAAATAAACACAAAGAAAGTATTTTATAATTACTTTATTATGAAATATTAAGTAAACAAAATAGTGAAAAATTATAAAATTCTTGTCTTGTCTGCACCTACGGCACACCAGGCAACATCTCGCTGCACACTATTGTGCCGCGGAACAGCGGTTGAAAAACGCTGCTCTACACTGATGGTTAACCTTGAACAGGTTGCTTACTCCTCTAAACGTGAGTTTTCTATAAAATGGAGATAAACATAGCACCTTCCTTTATAGTGTTGTAATGGAGTTTAAATGAGATACTATGCATAAAGATCTTTCTGATGATGCCTAGCACATAGCAAGTGGTCAATAAATGATAGCAATTAATATTTCAACTATTATTTTTGGTTTCCATAGACACCGTCTATAGTTTATCATTCACGCTGGGACTCTTTTGGAAGGGGCACTAAAATAATTGTTCTGGGTCTACAGGTGCATGATCCCTCCTAACTGATAAGGATCAGATTGATGCCTTTGTTTTGAGCAGTCTTGTCACAGTAGGGCTTCTCTGGGGAAAGAGCTGGTAGGATCTGGGGCGGAGGGTCCCAGGTGGGGCTTCAGGAATGTTTTTAAGTGGCCATTAACAAGCCTTGTCTGGTTTGTGGCTCAATTGGCTTGTGGTGGAAAGGCACTAATGGATTGGGGACGTTTATTTTCCCAGACTGATTTACAGCAAGAGGCTTCATGAAACCGCTGGAATGAGACCAATTGGATGAAAAATGGTTCCAGCGTCATGGCTCCATTGGTTGATCTGAAAATGGGCTGAGGGCAGCCCACGCTAGAGGAAAGCCAACAGGTTGATGGGACCCTATATATCATGAGGGTAAATTATATTG